TGTGTCAAGAGTGATCTGGTCGACTCAGAAGGAAGTCAAGACTGTTCTGATCGTAAAAAAGGTATTTTCAACATGTTGGATTGACTTGGCCTGACATCCAAGAGTGTGTAGTGTTCCCTAAGGACAAACGAGCTTGCAACCTGCTGAATGTGATGTGTAGCCAACCAGAAAGCGAAGTAATGTAAACGCGGAAAGGAATCCAAAATACAGAAGACAAAAAACTGCCATGGCACAACAGAAAGTTAACTGGACGTTGAAGACGTAATTTTATATTGTTTTATTTTTTTCCTGATAAAATAGTTTCACAATCTATGACCACTGCTTCTTCCTCATCTGCAATGCTTATTTATTTTGAACATACATTTGATCTTGAGAAGTCTCGAGAGAATTCCTGTCTGAATGTTCACGAGATCTGTTTATCCTCTCGTGTGGACTCTCTCAGTCTTTGAATATCTGCCGACAATTTTAAAATTTTGCTGTGTGAACCAGGCATAAAACTAATAGTGGATTCAAATGAGAACAATCCTTYAGTGTGATGTAATGAAAGGTAGTACATATAATTGTTCTCCCTTACCACCACTCGAAGGGTCTTCTTAACACCATCATTAAGAGATGAGTCCTTAACAGCTGCTTTGACCTCAATGCTGAGTTCACCTTTCTTCATGGGAATAATGACGAAGGGCACTGATCGAGTGGTCTGAGCTCCAACAATGACCTCCTCTTTGTACTTTCTGCGTTTGGAGGCTGCACTGCAAACATTCTCTCCCTCCATCAAAAACACAAGAACCTTGGAAACAAACAGTTAAATATATATATATAAACAGACATAAAATTAACATGAAGTTCAATCCAGTCATCTATTATCTTATATACATGAGAAATAAAAATAAAATAAAACTACAATTGGTTCTTTACTACCCATGACTCAGCTTCTATTGCTCATTGTAAAGAGTCCTTTCAAAAGATTTTGATCGTTCGTAAATGTCACATCTCTATTATCTTCTGCTTATTCWAAGTGTGGTCACCGTGCAGCAGCTTGAAAATGGAGGCTCAGAGCTCTTTCTTTCAGCTCCTCTGGGGGAATTTTATTGTGTTCCCAGGCCAGCTGAGTGACATGGTATCTATAATGAGTCCTGGTTCTATGCCTGGTTCTCCTTCAAATTGGACATCCCCGAAGCACCTTCGTATGGGGGGCATCCAGGAGACATCCTTTCAAGATGCCCAAACCACCTCAACTGGCTCCTCTCAATGTAAAGGACCAGCGGCTATATTCTGAGTCTCTCCAGCATAACTGAACTTCTCACCATTTCTCTAAAGTAGAGTCCAGCTACCCTGTAGAGAAAACTAATTTTGACAGCCTGYATCCACAATCTCATTCTTTCAGTCCCTACCCAAWGTTCATAGCCATAGGTGAGAGTAGGAATGTAAATCAATTGGAAAACAGGGAGCTTTACCTTACAGCTCAGGTTCATCTTCACCACAACAGACTGGTACAGATTCCGCAAGACATCTGATCTCTACAATCAACCTCACGCTTCACCTTTTCATTGCTTGTGAAAAAAACCCAAGATCAATTATCTTTGCCACTTGAGGCAGAACCTCACCCCCCAGAGCTGCTGGTGGGTGGATTGAGAGAGCAATCCACCTTTTTGCAATTAATGACAATGGACTCAGATGTGGAGGTGCTGATCTTCATCCCAGCCACTTCACACACAGCAACAAACCACACAAGTGAGAGCTAAAGCTCACAACACAATGACACCAACAGGACCACAACATCTACAAATAGAAATTCTGTCCATAATGGTTATGAACAGAATGGGTGACAAGGGGTAGCCCTGGCAGAGTCAGCAATATGAACCAAACTTTTGCACTGTTTGTATAAGGACTGAATGGCCTGTAACAATGGACCTACAATCCCATTGTTGCCTAGAATGCCCCCACAGTGTATCTGAGGAACATGGTCAAATGTCTTTTAAAAGTCCACAAATCACATKTAAACTGGATTGTGAAACTCCCATGACTCCTTGAGGAACCTATTGAGGACAATGAGCTGGTCCAGTGTTCCATCGCCAGGACAGAACTTGCATTGTTCCTCTTGAATTTGAGGTCAGACTATCAATTGGACAGTTCTCTAAAATCCCTGAATAGACTTTACTGGGGACATTAAGGAGAGTGATGCCCCTGTAATTAGAACACAACCACSGGTCTCCCATTGTAAAATGGGGAACCACCACCCCAGTCTGCTAATCCAGTGGCACTGGCCCTGATGTCCATGCAATGCTGCAAAGCTATGTCAACCAAGACAGTGCCACAATATCCAGAGCCTTAAAGAAATCAGAACAGATCTCGTCCACTACTGGAGACCTGCCTCTGTAGAGCTTAACTACCACAGCCTAGTTATGGATAGACCAACCCCCAAAGTTCTTGGACTCTGCGCCTTACATGAAAGACGTGCCGGTGAAATTGAGAAGGCCGGAGAAGTGTTCCGTCCACCTCCTGACAACATCACTGGTTAACAACAAGCCTGACAGCCTTGTAGCCACTKTTTGGTATTGGTATTGGTGAATAAGGATGGGTAAAATCCCATGTGAGMGGGGGACTCATAAGTGGGCCCATTACTTTCCCCAAAGAGACACTGAGCTTTTACCTTTGCATCCCCCGGATGAAGGACACAAGGTTAGGAATACTCAGTGTTCTGAGCTTCTCTGGATCCATAAAAGGTTCTTCAAGACCTTTCCTCAGGTCCAGGCAGTGATTGGAACAGGCATTACAGTACTCAGTGTAAGTACTGAGAAGCCCTTRGCTTTAGCATAGTCAACTATTGCCATAAACTGTTGTGATGGAGGTGGCTGCTGAYAATCAAATATTAGATAAACAGAGGCCACAATATTGATGTTAGTATGACYTTGCAGTCACAGTTCAAGGCAGTTGCCTCAACAATTAAGGCATGGACCACTGACCATTTTCCCCTGCCTCAGCTGGAATTCRGTTAAAGTTYTCATGGAGGTGTAGTGTGAATATCTTTCGGGTTCTTCTGCCAAGCATCTGATCAAACTCAATACCAAGTGGTGATCAGTTGACAGCTCAGTTGCTCTTTTCCAAAACATATGGGCACAGGTCAGATGACAGAATTACAAAGTCAATCATCTATCTGCAAATTAGGGTGTTCTGGTGTCATGTGCACTTACGTTGTATGTCTGAACACAGTGTTTGAGATGGACAAAGTATGACTAGCACAGAAATCCAACATAAAACACTGCTTGAGTTTAGATCAGAGAGGCTGTTTCTTCCAAGCATGCCCCTCCAGGTCACACTGTCAAAGTCCTCCAACATAATAAAAATTCCCCAGCTGGAGCACCTTCCAACTAGGAATGCGCGATATAAATGAGATACGGTAGAAACGATATAAATTTGTCCTATGATAGAGATCTGTAG